CAGGGGGTGGGGGGATGGGGGCGAGCCGGCGGCGTGTTTGTATCTTAATTTTAATTATTTCCACTGCGCTGTGTCTCCGACCCAACAACCGATTTAGATGTTATAATAATTTTAAAACAATAATGTATGATGAGAAGACAAAAATGCACGACACCGAAGTCTATTTTTTAAAATATTCCTACTACTGTATCATTTTTTTTATTTTTCTTTTGAGAAATTTAGAAACTATTTGAAACTGGGCGACGATGTGCTCGTCGGTGTGGTTCAGCCGGAAGCCAACAGAGTGCGCGCCGTGCATCGCCCTAAAGCCCCGACGTCGTCCGAATGAAACAAGGGGACGGGACATATCAACAATTGTTATTATTCGCTGGGGCCGGTCGTGGCCGCCGTCTCCCTCTACGGCCGCTGGGTGCAGCCTCCGCTGCTCCTGGACCTGTTTCTCTCTCTTTCTCTCTCTCTCCCTGACCCCCCCCCCCCTCCTCCCTCCGTTTTGTGCAGCGAGGGGCCTTCTCTCTCTCTGTCCGGTCGGACTCCTACCAAATTCCCCGCAAGGTCGATCTCTCCCCCCACCCCTCTTTCCCTCCTTCCACCGTCCCCCCCGCGTCCCTGGCTCCCTTCCCTGCATTCCCTCGCACTCACACACGCTCTCACACACACACACGCACGCACGTCGGATGGCCGGTTCGAGAGCTAAAAGCGGCCCCCGTGCATCAGGAGGACGAGGGAAGGCAGGGCAGAGTAGCCTGCGCTGATTATTATGTGATGGCAAAACCGTTGGCTCAGGAGGAGGAAAAAACACCAGGGACACGCATGCACACATACATACAGACAGACAGACAGACAGACAGACAGACAGACAGATAGACAGACAGACTCTAAATGTCTAAGGACAATTACTGCAACTAGCACCGGACTTCTGTGAGTATATATATAACTGTGTTCAGATACAACAATATTGTAACTACAATACAGCAGACGTCTGCAAGTTACAATAGTTCTCCGTAGACATTTAGAGGAGTGCAGACAGACAGACAAGCAGACAGACAGGCAGGCAGGACGGATAGACGGGCGGACGGACAGAAGTTCGAGGGAGAGGTGACAAATTGCCGTGCGTGGGTTCGAGTCCTGCGGGGCCCGGGCCGAGCTGGTGTGGTGGTGAAGACAATGTGTAACCAGACACGACGTGTCGTTGCACTGTGTGTATCAACAAGTGGAGGAGTAAAAGAGGGAGAGGGAGAGAGGGAGGCGGAGAGAGGGAGGGAGGGAGAGAAAAGAGGGAGAGGGAGAGAGGGAGAGGGAGAGAGAGAGGGGGGGAGGGAGGGAGAGAGGGAGGGAGAGAGGGAGAGAGAGAGAGAGAGAGAGAGAGAGAGAGAGAGAGAGAGAGAGAACGGTAGCGAGAGCGGGAGAGAGGCCCCGGGGGACAAACGCTATTGATACTAATGGCCCACACGGGCACCCACGTGTTCTCACTTCCGCGCAGCCCGGGCTGTGAGCCCCGGCGCGGCGGGCGGGCCGCGGGGTCGGTGCAGCACGCGCCGTACCGACGCACAGTACCGGCGTCTGCGACGATCGGTGACGAAATTCGAAAACGGCGGCGCAAAGTGAACACGCCCGCAAAACCGTGCGAAATCACGCTACTGGCAAGTTAAGTGCACGAATGTCTGTAACCTATGCGGGTGAATGAAATAAAATCATATCTGTTGGCTACAGGTAAACGAAAAAAAATTCTCACACCTGAAAGTGAGTGAAAAAATTCACTTTGTAGACTTTCCAGACCAACTGAGTTCATATACAATATTTTCAGTAACAGTACGCATTTAGTAACTAGATTTACGTTCATTTATTGTGTCTAAAATACACAAGTCCGGTACAAATCGGATGCGACCCAAAAAAAAAAAAAACGTTCATGAGATTTTAGCGTGTTGATTGCACTACTTTATATCTTTAATCTACGAGCCGGAAAGTGGACTGCGATTTCATCGCAACACATCAAACTGTCCTCGATTTTAAAAGAGACACAAGTAAAGCTTTAATCGTATGTGAGCCACACAACACAAAATATATGTTGTATTTAGCACAATAAAAAAAAACAGTCCAGACACGCAAGGGGGGAGCCTTGGTGCCGTTCGGTGGCACATTGTTCGATTAGATCGAACTGCAAATCGCATTTCGAGAGAATGTCGCGGCAAGTGTGCCGTCCGGAAGTGCAAACTTTTGGTGCACAGGGGCGCGGACGGGTTGCCCACCCGAGGAAATTTGAAGGCCGGAAAAAAAACCAGGAAAAGTTGTGGAAGAAAATAACGAAAGAACAGGTAAAATAACGAAAATTTTGATAAAAAGTACATTATTTTGGGTTTTCTTTCAAATTTTCACAAAAAAAAAATCTCGAATTCTCGGAAAAACGTTAACTCTTTCGGAAAATTAAAATCTCTACCCACCCTGCACGACACGGAGAGAGAGGACGCAACAGGGTGAAGGGGGGGGGGGGATGGCCGCAACTGGCGAGGGGTCGAGGTCCACAAGAACTATACTATAAATTCAAGCATACTCCGATTATTCTTCATTTCCCGTTTTTTCTTGATTATTTTTTCGATTTGTCTCTGATATTTTTTTCAGATTATTCCTTGATTTTATCTGCATTTTTGGTACTGCTGACTGTTTCTGATTTTTTTCTCTGATTCTTCCCTTGATTTCCACATTTATTTATTTTTCGGAGGGTGTACACTGTTGATGTTTTTCTTAAGAAAGAGGGAGGCAGAGAGGATAGGCAGAGTTAGTCGGAACGGCGATCGCCGAATACACTTGTATCAGAACGTTGGAATAAGTTGGATTCAAACGGAAAGCAAAAAAACACAAAACCTTCCCGCCCTCCGAGGGGGGTGCTGCCTAAAATGCAACACGACGGGCGAGACATATACACCTGTGCCCCCGTACAAGCAAGCGCATATCAGCAGGGTGAGGGGAGTAGCCAGGGGGTGGGGGGATGGGGGCGAGCCGGCGGCGCCCGCGCGGGAGGGGGAGTGGGCGGGGCGCCCGGCGGTTTGCCTACCTGTGGCACGGCCCGGCGCTTATCCACATGTCTCTCAGCGGTTAGGGCGCGCGGCGGCGGACCCCGCGGGGGCTGCAACGCGGCGGCGGGGCTGTGCGCGGACACTCACGCACTGACACTCACTCACACATACATACGCGCGCGCGCACACACACACCGACACGACCGCCACACACACGCCACACACACAAACACACACACACGGGCGCACGCGGAACCTCTCTCTGAGAGCGCGGCCGGCCAACTGGTCTGGTCGGCGGCGCGTCCTGGTCCCCCCCGGTGGTGCGCGGGGAGCTCCGTCCGCAGGCTCCGCCGGGCTCTGCAGCAGGCTCGGCCAGTCCGTCCAGCATCCCGGGGTCCCCCCGCGGTCCCCCCCCCCCTCTCCGCAGCAGCAGCAGCGGTCAGTCGCCCCCTCTCCAACCTTTCTCTCCGTTTGGTGCTGCTCTCCTTGGGCTGGTCCGGCGGCTCCGAGATGCACCTGTGCGAACACTTGTATCTGCATCCGCGAGCGGGCGCGGCGGCGGCGGCGGCCTGCTGCAGCGGGCCGAGCCTCCCCCCCCCCCTCCCTCCTTCTCCTTTCAAACTCCGTTTTACAGGACTTGGGTGAAGTCGTTTAATAGCCCCGCCCGGGACGACGACGCTGTGCTCGGCGGCGACTCGCTCGCCTCACAGCCGCGGACACTGGCGGAGGACTCCGCGCCGCCGCCAACGCCATCCTCATCCTGGACCCCCCGGGGGGTCGACCGCGGACGCCCACCACCACCACTACACGGCAGCGGCAGCGCGCCGAGGCCCGCGTGTCACTGCAAGCCTCACTAAGTTGCAACCGACTGCTCTCAACAAACGGGGGCGAAGAAGACTAGCACGACTGAAAGTCACCCGACTTAGCATTTTTGAACCTTGAGCCTTGAGTATCCGAAGCGGTGGACCTCCTGCTTCTTCCGCGGCCGCCTGCAGGGAATGCCCTTCCTGTGTGGCCCTTTGCCAGAAGGGCGGCGCCTTCGAAACCGGTCAACACACACGCACCAGAGAGACCCAAGAGTGTGAATGCCGCACACTACTCGTAGGTGTGTGAACGCCATTCGATTCGTACACAGATGGAGGCACACGAGGGTGAATTTCAAAGGGAAATTCACACCTTGGCTAGACGGACATGGACATACGTCCGACCGGAGTTGAGCCCGAACCACTGTAGCCCCGACCAAAGCCCGTAGAGCCTACACCTTTTCTTCCCTAGGTGTACGACTGAGCATTCACACACCTTCAAGTGTACGACTTTAGGCATTCACACACCTACAAGTGCACGAATAGGCATTCACACACTTGTGTGGGTAAACGCGAGTGAACGTGCCCTTGCTAGATGGCACATGTCGCACCGTTGTTCATTTCTCCAATCCGCTCAGGCCAATTATTATTGCACTTTAAATCGCTTCTCTTTAGACGTCTTATTAAAGGCGTATGTAGGGGTCACGCCCCCCTCCCCCTTCCCCTTCTACTCTGCCCGCGAGAGATGACCGGTCGCTCTCATGGATATAGGCGCACCTGGCCTGCAAGAGAAACTGTCTAATGAGACATTTGTCTGGAATGCGAGAGAGGCAAGAACACATGTGTTCTCTCATGCATGAGTGCGATTGACAAGATTTGAAGGTTCATTATTGAGCTCTAGTAAACGTTTCTACGTTTCTACACCGCAAGTATTTTATATTATTTGTTTAAGTCAGGGGTCGGTACGGAGGTTTGTGGGGATCGAGGGGGTAATCCATCCACAAGTAAGCCAGGGGTTGAAACGAGGGGGGGAGGGGGGGGGAACGGACGGTAGTCCACACGACCGATTTTAACCAGTTTTAACTAAATTCGAAAACCGAGAACATAGACAGTGATGGCCGGTTTCTAGGTTCGTCACATAATTTTCTTCAATTAACAGTAGAAGTATTAGTGTGTACAATCCTCAGAACTCCTCATTCTCAATAAAAAAAAGAAAGAAAAGAAAAACTCAATAACTCATACAAAAAACTGGTATGAGTATTTGGAAGAGGCGAAGGTGAAAACCAAACAGACGTTCGTAAAGGGGGGGGGGCGTCTACGAACCCGGTCAACGGTGAACGGTGAACGGGGTGAAATCCGACCAAAAAATAAAATTGAGGACACATAGAGGACTCTATGGCTAAAAATTATATGACAGTTTTATTTTTTTTTTCAAAAGTTAACACCGTTTTCTATTGCCCCCTAGACTAGACCGTGGAAATAAAGTACCCCGCACCCCGCACTATCTGAAACTGTTGCTATATCTCAGCGACCCGCCACCAAAAGTACCACCCATTTCCCCATCACTCGAAGTAAAGCTTACCTTGACAGTTGGTGTTATGTGGGTGGCTCTGAAGTGGGGCTTGTTTGAAGTTGTTGAAAGTGTCCTCATTGCTTGTTGGGCGGTTGAGCACTTCTCTCAGAATGAACATTCTGCGAAGCTTTCCAACCTCAATCTTCTGCAAGGTGCGGAGTGCGGGCCGAGGTTGCAGCTCGGTATTTAACTTGCCTTGTCCGAATCTTCACGAAGCACACGCGAAACTTCAACAACTTCCGAGTATAATTTGTAATGCCTTGGTATTTTAAACGGACCTCAAACGATGCACACGCAACTACCCATGCGCCACTGCTGGGAATGCCGATTCCTGCCACTACCCCCCCCCCCTCTTTCCCATCGCCTTCAAACAACGTTTGGGTTGCTTTGCTTCGGGTTAAAGAGCCGGTCCATATTTTGAACGGAAAGTAGTATGCATTTCTGCCCATTACGGCAAGATCAGTCTGTTTTTAAAGAGACCGCCCGAAGATTTCTCAAATATTTTCCACGACAATAAATCTTAAAACTGGCAACCCGATCCCACGACGACCCTCCCTTCCCTTCCCTAACTACGTTTTGTTGTTGTGCGTATTCGCAAACCCGGCGCGGGGTAGGGCCACCACCACAACTTGGCGTGCCTTTGCTCGAGGCTTCCGCCGGTCACCGCGAGAGCGCAGCAGCACGTGAGCGGGGTGCGCGGGGTAGAAGCGTTGTGTGCTGTGTGCGCCGGCATCCCCGGTATCCCCGGCGAGCGCGTGCGTGTGTACCCCTCGCGTCAGGTGACTCCAAGGTGCTCTCCGCCGACCCGAGCGTCAGTCCCGGGAGAGGGGGGCAAGGGGCAAATGAATGAGATGGACGTGCACATGAATCGCCCGACTTGCGACGCCCAAGACAGCAAAAACATTCGGGTGCTCAAGGTGTTTGTTCTCGGGACGCTCCTCCCGCTGCACGCGCACTTGAAATGGCTCTAAATTCCACACAGAAAGAGTGATGCTGCAAATCCCCTCACGAGAGCATCAATACATGCCAGCTCCAGTCCGGCAACCTCTGAACACACACGGCGTCGGAAACGTGTCCCTTTCTCCCTTTCGCTCTCCACCAGATCAGTCGAAAGGCTGGAAAAGCGTATTTATTTACAAGCTGTACTTATTTTCAATCTTTGAATTACCCTAACGTATCAAACCTCGGATTCTAATGTAAATGTTTTTTTAGCCGATTTCAATGTTTGAAAAAGCCTGAGGTTGTTAGCCCTGCTTGTCGGTAGCGTCAGTCGCAACCTGCAATTTGCTGTTGTTTGTGTTTGTGATGCGTAGTTCAGTGCTTTTTAGAACAATTTTTATTCTAGAGATGTAAATTTGCCCGCTGCTTTGAATTAAAATGGCAGAGCGTCCTGAAAAATGCACGGCCGACCCAAATTTCGCCGTAATATGTTCGTTTTTGGAGAAGTTTGCGAAGCCTTGCGGGATCTCTCACCCCAACTTTTTGGAACTTCAAGAAATGCTCGAAAACTGTGAGACTGGTAGGTTCATGCATTTTCTTTGGCTGTAATTTGTCATTTTTTCATACACGTCTTTTGCGCTATCTTCCTCTTATATATCTCATGTGTAGTAATGTCTAATGGGTAAATACAGGCTCCCTTGGGTTTGGCTTCCAGGCAGCGACCGGCGTTACTTGTCTGGAAGCAACGCTTTCTATTTGATCGGGACTGTGTTTTACGTATAAAATTTGACCTCTTATGTCAAAACATTACATTTCCACGTATTGTTCTTTTTTATCATTGTTATATTGTCCAATTGCGTCTGCTGTGAAGGTTAGGAAGCAGACAAGCAGTGGTGTTTTTTTTGTGTATCCTAGATCAGTGCCACCACTGTATTGATTTTATACTGGCAAATTTTTAATTTAATGTTTTGAATTTTTCTCATCTTTGCATTTAGAATATATTTTTATTAAATTTGATACCTCTGCTTTGTTTTGTTGACATTCCAACCAATTTTGTGTCTTGTTTTGGTTTTTCAATGGAGTTTATCTGAACTATCGTTGAACTTGTAATTGACATTTTTCTTGTTTGATGACTTACTCCTTAACTAACTGGGCCTTAAAAATTTTCTCTTTTCTCTTTCAGTCCCACAACCTTTAGTTGACTTACATGTTAAACTACTCAGAAAAGCCAGAAAATCTGTTTCCATTGAGAGATGGCAACGAGCCGTTGTCAAATTTTGCCACACTCACGCTGGTTCAGAATTTCAAGAAGATGGCTGGGACATTGAAAGACTGGGTTACCAAAACCTTCGTTTAGATGGTAAATTACGTGTTTTGAAGGCAAGTATAAGTGAATTATCTAGAGTTTTTATTTCGCGACTACTGTTTATATAATATAAGATCTTATTGACCATTCATTTTCATTTGCAGCTCTTACTTGAACATCAATTTGATCTGAATACCAAGTTTAAAGCGGAAGTGAACCGATTATCATCTTCTGAATTACGCCTCCAACCATTTGGGCGTGATAAAGTTGGACAGAACTATTGGTTACAGCAAGATGAGTTTTGTAATCTTAAGGTCTACAGGGAAGATGCCGATAATGAGACTTGGCAAGTTGTTGCAAGGTAAGTACATCTTCCTTTCCTTTTTTAATTTAAAATTATCTAATCTATAATTTGTATTTGTTGATAACTTATTTGTATTATACCTATTCAGTGACCGTGATTCATTGGTTGAGCTCATTGGACAGCTATCAGGAGGAAACCTTGAGTCAGTTTTTAACTCAGAAGACAGCAACAGTACTGAAAATATAGACACAGGACAAAACAATGAGAATGGTTCTTCAAAGGCTGAAATTGAAAATGTGACTGAGAATAAACCAGATAATTCCACAACTGATGGAAGTTGCACTGAAGCTGAAGAGGTGAAGGTGAAGAAGGAGCTAACTTCTGAGGTAGAAGAAAAGAAACAAAATACTAAAAGTGGAGATCCTCAACACCTTAATGAAAGCAGTTTGAAGTCTGAATTAGGTGACAAACCTGGACCAATGGTTGAACAAGATTCAGACAGCAAGAGAGAAGAATCATTAGAGAAAAGAAAGGCTGATGTATTAGAGAATGAACGTGAAACAAAGCGACTGAAAACAGAGGATGAGGTGTCGGTAGCCATTGAAGATCCTCCGATAGTTGTTACTGGTGAAGGCTCTGGAAATGATTGTGAATGTGGCAACTTAAATGTTTTTGATGCTGATGACTGTGAAGTCGGGCAAGCCATAGAAGAACCTGTAATGTTTATTGTTGGTCATGGTTCAGGACATGACTGTGACATGGGAAACCCTGCTAATACTGATGAAACCGAAAAAACAGACCCCCCCATTGATAATCAAAAGGTTGCAGCTTTGAAAAATGAGGCAGAGCCTGTCTTGAGCACAAACGGAACTGTTGATAAACAGAATGACTCTGTTTCTGGAAATAATGAAAATGATGATGATTTGGACTTCCTCAAAACGGGGTTTTATTTTGGCCCCGGCACTCTTGCTGCCAAGGACAGAATACCAATCGGATCTCCTGAAGGAAAACCACCTTCTACTCAAGAAACTGTTAAGGCAGATGATATTAAAGACACTTCAGTGGGGAACTCAAAAGAACAAGATTCTATTTCAAAAGCTACTGTTCCTGAATCTGATTCTGTTGTAGAAAATCCCTCTTATTCAAATTCTGAAATAGAGGCTGGATCCTCAACTGACATTATAGTTAAGACATTAGGGGACATTTCAATTGAAACTGACAAAAGTAATTCCCAAAATACTGACAATCTTCTTAGTGAGTCTGAGCCAAGTTCTAGTGAAGAAAAAGTAAGTTTTGCTAATGAAGCTGCAGAAACTAGCTCTCTTGCTGAGAAAATAGATCTCAATTCTGTTTCCTGTTCAAAAGATGATTTAACTTCAAGTGTTTTGCCATCAGTCATACCGGAAGTCTCACAAAGACATGATGAGCTTGTTCATTCTGCTCTAGTTGACGTTGTTGGAAAACATGCTGCAAAACCATTGGATTCTCCAGTGAAGGTGATCCCAGAAGATTTACATCAAACCTTGTTTCAATCAGGAGATATCAGTACAACAGAATCATATGTTAGTTCCGATTCAATTACTAGTCAAGTCACCAGTACAATTTCATCTTCATTTGTAGTAGGTAGTGCAGATGTCTCTCCAATTAAGACTTCTCCAATGGAAATAGGTGAACCTATTAAGGATGATGATATCTGTTCTTTATCAACAAATTTGGATACTCCATCTAATTCTCATGTATCTAAAAATATCAATCCAGAATCTGCTTCTGAGGATATCGTGAAAGGGACCAAAATTTTTGAAGACAAAAAGGAGGATGATATTAGCTGTACTAATGAGGTACCATGCTCTTCCATTTCTGAAGAGACAGGTAATTTGGTGACCGGAGATGGCACAGATGGGAAGACTTCCAATGTAATTGATGAGTCTTTAGATCTGCCTGAGAAAACTAAAACTGACCTGACCTCTAGTGTCAGTTTGGCTGAAAACTCATTGCAAGGAGAAAGTACAACTTTCTCGGAAGATTCTATTCCTTCAATCGTTGCTGTACCAGACAAAGAAGGAGCTGTTCATGACCAGATTTCAGAGACTGACTTAGCACTCTCTAGTAATGTACATGAAAAGATTGAAACTAATATTGGACCATCAGATAAATTGTTAAAATCTGCCATTACATCTGATGAAAATCTTCAAAGCTCAAACGATTGTGTTATTTCTGCTAGCGCCTCAGATGATCTCAGTTCTTTGGCTGAAGACCCGCAATCAATTTCGGATATTTCTCTTCAAAACAAATCAGAAGGAACTTTCCAAGCTCCGGGTCATAAATCTACTTCTGTGATGTCAGAAGAAACATCACAACCTGATGAACCTTTAATTGCTGTTCCATCTGAGGATAAATCAGAGCCGTTTACTCCTGTGCCGTCTGTGGACACATCACAACCTATTACTCCTGTTCCATCTGAGGTGACATCTCAGCCAACCATTCCTCTTTTATCAGAAGAGATATCACAGCCTATTACTCCTGCTCCGTCTGAGGAGACATCTCAGCCAACCATTCCTGTTCCATCAGAGGAGACATCACAGCCTATTTCTCCTGTTCCATCTGTTGAGACGTCTGAGCTTATCTCTGCCAGTGGACCTGAGGAGACATCGCAACCAATCTCAGCTGCTGTAGCTGAAGAAAAATCTGAGCCAATTACTCTTGTCACATCTGCGGAGACATCTCAACCAACTATTCCTGTTTCATCAGAAGAGACCTTTCTACCAAGCACTGCTCTTCCATCTGAGGAGGCACCTCATCATATCACTACTGCTGTTCCTTCTGATGAGACACCTCAACCAATCACTTCTGCTATAGCTGAAGAAACATCTGAGCCAATCACTCCTGTCCCATCTCAACCAGCCAGTGCTGTTTCATCTGAGGAGACATCTGAGTCAACTATTCCAGTGTCACAAGAAGAGATTGCTCAACCAACCACTGCTGTTTCATCTGATACGAAATCTGAGTCAATTATTCCTGTTACACCAGAAGAGACTCCTCAACCAAACACTGCTGTTCCAACTCAAGACATACCTCAACCAATGGGTGATGTTCCATCCCTCGAAATACCTCAACCAACAGCTGTTTCGACATCTGAGCCAGCCACTGTGTTTCCTTCTGAGGAGACATCTATTTCGTCAGATGTTCTTGCGCAGCCAGCTATCGCTGCTCCATCAGAAGAGATACCTCAACCTGTTCAATCTGTTGTCCCTGCTCAGTCAGAGATTTCACTCTCAACACACGCTGGTCCTTCAGATGAATCATTTATGGCTGTGGATCCTGCCATAGTTGCTGCGTCGGAAGGAGTGTCCCAGCCTCTTCAGCCTGCTGTGAAACCTGCTGAAGAGGAAATACTACTTCAGCCTATTGAGCCAGTTATTTCTGTACCCACAGAGGCATTACCTGATCCTGTTGTGGAGGTTGCTGCTCCCTTAGACGTATCAGAAAGTTCTATTGTGCCCTCTTCTAATGACTTCCCTCAGCCTTCAGTTCAGCCTGTAATTGCTGCAGCTGATGCTCCAGAAGACTCGCATGAGGCTGCTCATGGGGACGACACGGAACCTTTGGACGATGAACCACCTGCTATAACTACTTTGGAAGACGCAATGCGACAAATGGAGGAAGCAGGGGCCCCAGTTCGTCTTGATGACTCAGATGAATCAGATGATGATCGTGATAATGATCCTTTGGAAATGGTAATCTTCTGACTATAAGCTGTTGATTTACCATGTTAAGTCCCATGTGACCATCCATATATTTTGTGGCCAGCCCCCTGGGACTCAATGTGTTGACCAGTGTTTCATTTAAAGCCTGATTTTTAATTGTTATATTAATTTTTT